ATAGGAACGAAGAACACCTATAGGAAACACAGATAGAAGCGGATGTCATACCCATGAAGTGTGGTCTATGCAATTAATTGCTAAAAAGAGCTCAGGTAAGATAAGGACTGAAATATACCCATTGGGATTAGTAACAGCAATGCCTTTGGTGACATTAGAAGTACAACCTTAAAAGTGGCCCAGTAGGCCAGGAGTGGTGGCTCACTTCTGTAATCCCAGCACTTTGGAAGGCTGAGGTGGGCAGATCATGAGGTCAGGAGCTCAAGACCAGCCTGGTCAATATGGTGACACCCCATCTCTACTAAACATACAAAAAATAGCCGGGCGTGGTGGCATGCACCTGTAGTCCCAGCTACTCAGGAGGCTGAGGCAGAAGAATCACTTGAAACTGGGAGGCAGAGGGAGGCTGCAGTGAGCCGAGATCACACCATTGTACTCCAGCCTGGAAAGAGAGCAAGACTCCATCTCAAAAAAAGAAAAAAAAAAAGGCCCAGTAGGTGCAGAATGCTTTATAGGATGCAGGAAGTAGCCCCAGGCAATGAAGATAGAGTGCAGACAATGCGCAGCAAGCATGATTATGAAGGAAAGGGGAGAGATAATGAGGCTGTCTAGTGAGGAAAGTGGAGTGATTGAAAAAAATTCTTTTTAAAGACAGATGTGTCTGGAACATATTTAAATACTGATAAAAATAGACTAGAACATTGAAAGAAATCGAATACGGCTATTTCAAATTTGGGACTACAAGAGCTATAAGGGAAGATGTTGGCCAGATTGAATTTTTTCACTTTAGAAAAAGTCAGTCTGATGATAATAGGTGGGATTTACTGTACCTACTATGTGCCGAGCACTGTACTGGGCATAGTATATCTCCTGTGATTTTATGTTTAAACAATGTTAGGAGGGAGGCATTGCTATCATTATTTTACAGATGAGAAAATGAAGATGTTATGTGTCTTTCTCAGCCAATAAGTAGTCAATTTTCAGTACAAATTCCAACCTTTCTCCAAATGCATATTCCTTACACAGCCCCACGTCTCAGCATATATTTGCTATTTGGTAGTAGAATCCTGGGTGAATGAGCATCGGAAAGCATGTTTTGATTGGTCTGGGAAATGAGGAGAGAATGCAAAGATCTGAAAGAAGCCTCTGTCAGGAATAAATCTTGGTAAAGGATGCTACGAAAGCTGGACCCAGGACAGGAGGATGTGAAGGACAAAGGGAGACAGGCAGGAGAATATGATGCTAGCAGAGGTCCCGAAGCATTGTGTAGGGGAATAAAGTCCAGTGAAGTAGGGAGGAGTAGAAAAGAAGAACCCACATCCTAGGCCAGCGTACAAGCACTCGTGAGTGGAGAGATCTGATTTTACACAGCTGGATAAAGGAAATGCCACTGATAGGCTGATGACAACCACCTTTCTCTACTGTACTCCCTATGTGCGCATCCAACCACTTATTTGAAATTTCTACTCTTGATTTCTCCCTGAACCTGTTCTTCCCCAATCCTCTCCATTTCAGTAAGTAATTCTACCTCCTATCCAGTTGTTCAAGCCTAGAAGTCATTCTTGACTCCTCATTTCTACTTATTCCATGTCATCATTATCTGTTGCTGTGTAGCAATATTACTAGAAACTTGGTGGCTTGAAGGATACTTCTGATATCAGTTTCTGTGGGCAGGAATACAGGCACAGCTTCCTCTGCTTCAGGGTCTCTCACAAGGCTACAATCAAGGTGTTGCCCAGACTGCAGTCTCATCTGAGGCTCAAGTGGGGAATAATCTAATTCTTCACGGTTGTTGGCAGGATTCAGCTCTTTGTGGGTTACTGGACTGAAGGCCTGAGGTCCTTACTGGCTGTCAGCCAGACATCATTCGTTGTCATAATGGCCTCTCCATATGGCAACTTGCTTCATCAATGCCAGCACGGGGGAGAGCTAGTAAAGAGTCTGCTATCAAAACAGATGCTTGGATCTTATGTACTGCATTCATGGAAGTGCCATGCGATCACTGTTTCTATATTCTGTTGGTTAGAAACAAGTCACAGGCTCACCCCGTATTCAAAAACAGGAAGCTTCACAAGGGCATGAATATCAGGGGATAAGGATAAACAGAAGTCATCTTAATATCTGTCCACCACACCCCATCACCCAGTTCATTGCTAACCGTAGTGAATGCTACTCCCAAAATACCCCTTGCACTTGTCCACACTCCTCCATTGCCAGTGCCACCATCACCAATACAGGGACCATCTCTCACTGGACAATTCTTTGGTCTCTTTGGTTTCATTCTTTCCTCTCTGAAGTCTATTCTACACATATAGATTACATAATTTCTCTTACATACTTTAAAAATCCTCCAAAAAGTTCCCACTGATGTCCAAATAAAGTTGAAACTGCAACAGGACCCTACATTTCCTGGCCTGCTGACCTCTGACTTAATCTGATTTCATATCCCACAACTCAGCATACTCAGACGTGCAGGCTGCTTATGGTTCTCCAACTCCTTGAGTTCATTCCCACTTTCCAGAATGTATGCTTCATGTTTTCTCTGCCTGAAATGTTCTTCCCCAAGGTCTTTTGCAAAGCTGTCCCTCCCTTGTCATTCAGTCCCAGCCCAAGTGACATGTCCTTGGAGACGCTTTCCCTGCTGGATTAGTCCATTTTCACACTGCTATAAAGAATACTGCACAAGACCAGGAAATTTATAAAGGAAAGAGGTTTAATTGACTCAAAGTCCCACATGGCTGGGGAGGCCTCAAGAAACTTACAGTCACCGCAGAAGGAGAAGCAGGCATGTCTTACATGGTGGCAAGCAAAAGGAGAGTCAGCAAAGGAGGAAATGGCCAAACACTTATAAAACTATCAGATCCTGTGAGAACTCTCACTATCATGAGAATGGCATGGGAGAAACTGCTCCTATGATCCAATCACCTCCTATCATGATCCTCCCTGAATACCTGGAGATTACAATTTAAGATGAGATTTGGGTGGGGACACAAAGCCAAACATTATCACCTGCCCAAAGAGAAAGGGAGGGACCAGGATGATTCCCAGGCAACATGCAAGCTATCTCTATCACATTGCCTCTTTTAATTTTATTAAAGCCCCTATCACTCACTGTAATTTTCTTGTTTACTAATTAATTGTTTTTTCTTTTATTTTAGTTTAAGTTCTGTGAGAGCAAAACCCCTGACTTTCTTATTTTCCACTATATATCCCCATCATCTGGAGTTAAGCTTCATATATAACAGGCACTGGGTAAACATTGCTGAATGAATGAGTGAATGAATGAATGAATGAATGAACAAATAATGAACTTAATTAATGAATCAAATTACACATTCTGGGTTATCTTTAGATGTCTACACAACATTAATAATTGTAAAACTGGGCTGGACATGGTGCCTCACTCCTGTAATCCCACCACTTTGGGAGGCTGAAGGTGAGAGGGTCACTTGAGGCCAGGAGTTCAAGAATAGCCTGAGAAGCATAGCGAGACTGACTCCATCTCTACTATATATATATATATATCCAGATGGCAGATGTGGTGGCACACTCCCATAGTCACAGCTACTTGGAAGGCTAAGATGAGAAGATCACTTGAGGCCAGGACTTCAAGAAGATCACTTGAGGCCAGGAGTTCAAAGCTGCAGTGAGCTATGATCACACTACTGCACTCCAGCCTGGGCAATAGAATGAGACCCTGTTTCTAAATAGATAAAAAATAAATTTAAAAACTGAAGTCCTTTTGTATGCCCTTATTTTATTGCCACTAAGATCCAGCCTAAGAAAATGTCCTCCACCATTTTATAGGAAGATTTTATTGGCCATTTATGGATCACCATTTACTTCCCATGCACCCTAAGACTTAATTTATAGCACAAAATTAACAAAATGCTTTCCTGGAACAAAATTGCCACTACAGAAGGCATTTTGTCAAGGTCTTAAGGGAGCCAAATTAACCCAGTGGACCAAAAGAGAGAGCATCTCCATCATGCCTGCAGGGACTGACAGAGAAGATAATCTCAGTGTTTCTCAGCCACAACTGCTCTGTGGCATCATAGCTTGTTTCTACTATGATGGCTCTTTCACAGGCATGAAATTTTCTGCAGGAAAATAAAGGGCTGCACCAAATGAAAACAAAACCAACTCACTGAGAAATAATAATGCCATGCGGGAGATATAGTGGAGTCCAAGAAAATTAAAAACATTCCAAGTTGCTGTTTTGTTCGTTCTATTTCTCGCTCTGACGAGGCCAAATGATTGATATCTATTAAACACTACTTTGTATTTCAGAGCTGATGTCTTACCCCTTTAGAATTTAAAAAAGAAAATTTAAGCATGATTATTGCCTATCAGTGTATATCAGTGTATATCGGTGTATATCGGTGTATATCAGTCTGCTCAAGGGTTTTTCTGAAGTGAATACATGTGTTTTGGCAGCTTTTATTAGGCGGAAAGAGCCACCTGCTCTAATTCTTCAGCTAGTGGGAAGGTTTGGCATTATCCTCTGTTACTCTTTAAACCAATACTCACAGGAGAATAACAGGAATATGAAACAAACAAAAGAAACGAACAAGGAGAAACATCTCTTCTATTGGTGTAGCCATCAAGGTCTAATCAGAAAGATAAAGCCCAGACAAAAGAGTTCAATGGTAAGAATTTAATTCAGGGAACTAGTTAGGAAGGTGCTGGAAGAGCTGAAACGGCCAAGAAGGGGCAGTGAAAGAAGCCATCAGCTCTCTGCCTCTCAGAGATTCAGCTGAGTGCCTTTCCCCACGCAACCTGATACATCAGATTAGCAGTAGCGGCAGGCTGTGACCACACAGGAAGAGCGGTGTTATGGGTCAAATCATATCCCCTCAAAAAGACATGTTGAAATTAGGTCATCACAAATGTAATTAGTTAAGTGAAAATTAGGTTAGACTGGAGTAGCGGGACCCTAATGTAATAGGACTAGTGTTCTTATAAAAAGAGAAGAGACATAGAGACAGACTTAGGGGCAAGACAGCCTTCTGATGACAGAGACTAGAACAACATAGCTGCAACCCAGGGAATGCCAGGGATTGTGGCCACCATCAGAAGCCTGCAAAAGGTGAGGAGAGATTCTATGCAGAGTCTCAGAGGGAACACGGCCCTGCTGACAACATAATTTTGAATTTCTAGCCTCTGGAGTTGTCTCTGTTGTTTTAAAATATCTAGTTGGTAGTACATTGTTAGAACAGCCCTGAGAATCTAATATGAAGAGTATGTTCAGAATCCAAGCCCAGGACCACCTGGGGAAGGTGGATTTATGAGGCGGCCAGGGCGGAGGCTAGAGTCATGGAGGGAGGGCCTAGCTGGTAGTATCTGGGAGTGCGGAGGAGATTGTCATTGCTGGAGAAGCCACCGAAGCAGGTGAGTGTCAGGGGAGGAAGGGAGAGGTGCCTTGGCTTGTCTCTCTCTCTCATGCTCCTAGCTCCTGCCAGTACCTCTCTGTTGCTGAATCCAGTTGGCACAAGAGTCTGCAAAATTGTTTTCAGGGGCAGGGTGAGGACTAAATCTGAGTAAAAAACGACAAAGCCTGTCACTCTAAGGGGCCCTGACGTTAGGCTGGCGTGTGCACTGAATGTTCTGTTCTCTGCAGCCAAGTCAGGAAGTACAGAATGTCGATTACTGCACATACCCTAAAAGTAGGATTGTTGAGGTTGTTTGAAGTGAAAAAGGTCCTCAACATAAAGGCAAAATATTACAAGCCACGATGGTTAATTATTAAAGGCATTTGTCCAGCGACCTGGAGTCAAGAAAACGGCCACAAATTGGATTTTGGTTAATTTAGATGTTTGGATTTGGGACAAAGAAGGTTCTATCATATTATTATAAAGAAGAATTAAAACAATGGTATTGGGTATTGTTATGAAGAAACGGAGGAAATTTAGGTCTGAAGACCTACAAAATTTGTTTTTTAAATAGAGAGAGAGAAACTCCTCCTTCACCCAGTAAAATCTACTGCCAAAATCAAGAGGGAAGTGAATAGGACGCTGGAGTGGTATTTATTTTGTGATTCTATGTGACTCCCCTGGACCTAATGTTCCACAGTAAAAGTTAAATCAGTATATACGCAGTGGTCATTTGCAGAAGGATTGGAAACACTTTGTGGATTTAAATAAATGAAGATACTTAAAACGAAAATCCTCATAGTTCTTTAAAGGAAGCAGCATTTGGTAATGAACTTGAGATAAAGTTTTCTTTCATATAAAACAAAATAAGATATGTGCATATATTTTTATATTTTAATATTCATAGATAATATTTTAAACTTTGTGATAAAATAAGTCATACAAATTTATTTGCCAGGACAAAACACTTCTTACAACACAAAATTTATGAAATTAGTCCTTGCATAGGTGACGGTAGGCATTGTCTTTAACCAATATCTTGTTTTGACTGCTAATTTTTTTTTAAAAAAAAGAGCACACAATCATTCATCAAAAATAACAGTCAGCAAAGGACTAATGTGATTGTTGCTTTCCAAAGTCTCAAATTAGCATAGAAACAGAAGGTAAGATATCACACCACTAAATAATTAATGTGGCCACAGCAAACACAAGAACTCACAAGGAGGCCTTTGAGGTGCGTGGGCTCATAGTACATTCATGGTCATTACACCTAACGTATAACTTTCTGACCTTGCTGATTGAAGTTATATATTTATAACTTATAAATATCATATTTATAAGTTATAAATACGATATTCTGTTGGGAAAGGTTGAGGTTTTTAAACAGATCCATCAATGTCATGTTCAAACCACAACAAACATGAATTGATAAACAAAACTGAAAGCCACAGCAAGGCCTCCAAAGAGCCCACATGCTCACATGCAAGTAATGCTCATTGCAGCCACTGCAACGGGGCGTGGCCTGGGGCACAGCAGGACACAAAGCTCCACTGCAGGGTGACATGCATCCCTCCACGCCTATATTGCTTAGTTGTAAAATAAGGGAAGGGAGAAAAAGACAATCCAAACTGGCAGTGGCACTCAGGAATGGAGTGTCAGAAATAGATTCTTGAGCGGAACCTTCAAATAGATCATGAATCAAAGAGGAGAGGAAAAGAAATGTGGGTTGCAAATACAAAATTAGCATAAACCAAGAGAACAGACTTTACGTATAGTGAGGAAGATAAGTATTTCTCTTGAATGCCCATAAAAGTGTCCCCTGGGAGTATGTACCATGGACACCTTCTTACCATGCCCCTGGAGGTTCCATACTAGGCAGCATGTTTTCATAGTAGCTGGGGATAGAGAGACTGAGGGCCTTGCCCCAAACAACCCAATACATCAGAGTAGAGCTAACATGAGCCTTCTCAGTCCCTGAGTTTTAAGGACTTTGATCACTTAATGGAGTCATGCTGCAGCTCTCAAAGATGAGGTCCAAACCTCATTCCTGCAGGTCCAAACCACATTACCAACTTCATAAGTAACGACAGTAAATTAGTCTGTCCAATGCAAAGAGACTACCTTTGCACAATGCCTATCCTCCGCAGGGTCCCTATATGACCATAGGAAGTCTTTATTGCTGAGAGATGGAAAGGAGAGATTTCACACAAAAATCAGAATGGGCAGAGCACTGCCTTTGTACATTACTTTAAAAACACCCTATTCCTAGTGTTTAATATTCAAATGACTTGCTACTTGTCTGTCCCCTGAGAAAATGTTTTAGTGAAAGCTAAATAAATGCTACTCTGGTGATTTTTATATAAAACACCGAATCCCAGTACCATCTCCTAAAGAACACAGTTGCGGAGGCAATTCACCTGGGTGTCATGCTCACCCTTTAACCAGAAGGCCAGCAACACGTTGTTTACGATTCCCAAAGGGAATAGAGCAAACATGGCTCTATACTAAAGGCAAAGTAATGAAATCTGATGACAAAACACCATCATAAAATAAAGGTAACATTAACCATTTATTAGGTTGTAGGTGAACTAAAGATTGAACGAAGGGGTGAATTTGCTCTGGGGGTTGGTAGAAGACAGGAATATTTATAGACTATTTAGAAGGGAATCTAGTGGTAAATGGCCACCGATTTTTCTGTGTACATCAGGGAGTTTCATTAGAAAAAGCTTTTGCGTTGATATTCTCCCACAGCTGTGGCCCGCAAGTGAGTCACAATTACTGATGCCAGGTTGACAAGAAGGCTGAAGTGAGTCCAAGTGCAGGAGTCTCACCTTCTTAGGAGGCTCCATCATCTCTACTGTGTAATCTGACCAACTATTTCACTTCAGTGTACTTTTTTTCACCATTAACACAAGCGTTTCATCTCTACACCCCTCTAAGAATGTTACTCTTAGAATGCTAAGAAAATCTTTGTAGTTATTTGAAAACAGAACAATGTAAACAAAAATAATTCTTTTCAGAGGGTTAAAGACCATTTAATCATACAAGGGTAAAGTATTCCAGGTGATTTAAAATACATCAACTTGACTGACTGTCCCAAGTGAGATATATCCTAATGGCAAAAAGAAACTCCAGAGAAATGTTAAACTGTATTTAATATTTATATTAAATACTACCTTTGCACAGTGCCTATGCCCCACAGGGTCCCTGTATGACCATAGCAAGTTTTTATTGCTGACAGTTAGAAACGAGAGATTTCACACAAAAATCAGGATGGGCAGAGCACTGCCTTTGTATATTATTTTTTAAAAAACCCTATTGAGCATCATTTTTCTGAAACAAAGTTTTGTAAGGTAAAACAAGTAATTATGTTAACTTTGCCAGAACCAATAATTTCAGGATAAGTGATAAGAGTCAGAAATATAAAATCAAAAAGTAAAATTTCTCTGACTTCTATCTCAGTTGGCAACATCACTATGCTCATAGGTATTTTTTTTTCTTTTAAAGTTTCATGTATTTCATAGCCTGTCCACTGAAATGGGCAAAGGAGCAATGAGCAGTCCTAGTGCTCAAACTGAGATCTTGAAACATCGTTTCGCAAGTAAAGTCTCTGGAGAAATGACTGTTTCAGATCTGGTTCAGGAAATAGACAAGAGGAGCTAGAGCTTATCATACCAGATAACAAGAGAGATCTTTTAAAGATCACTAGGGTCATGTCAAAAGGGTTTAGAAGCCAAATTGAAGAGGCACACTCCCTCATTGAAGATGGGACAGTTATGTTCTCAAAAAGGATAATAACTGCAAAGAATTTTCAGGCATTTAATATCATATCATTCATGAGTTCAGAATGATACTTAAAAAAATAAAGAGCCACCACTGGTCTTTGGTCACGTTTAGCAGATATTAGGGAACTAGCTATTCTAAAAACCAGAAAACAGGCATCTATTCTGCTTTTCCTTTACAAACTATGCTTAGGGATTATAATATAGCTCATGAAGAAAAGTCTTTCTTCATAGCAGCACTCCAGCTACTAAATGAAGAAGGATTTATATAATGACATCATTTCAGAGTTCCTGGTAAAATAATGGATGTAGCCAATGATCATCAATGACTGCTAAAGCTGTTAGATGAGAAACTGATGGGGAACTTTAAAATGATGGAAAGACTAACAAGATTTGACCCAGCAATCAATCTTAACATCCCATAAACGGAGATGATCAGACATTATGTGCCTCCTGATGAAAGTACATAACTATGAGTCATTCCTGCCAAAAAATTGAAATTTAATCTGATAAATCTTCCAGATCCCATTGCCAGCTTTTAAGCAAACAGAATATGTTAAATGACACCATGAAGATGCAATTAATAAAATTTATAGGAAAAATGACCTGGTTTCTTTAATCTCTTCAACAAACACATAGAAAAGAAAAAGAGAGGGGAAATCTATAGGTTAGAAGAAACAAGAGGGGCCTGGGGTGGTGACTCATTCCTGTAATCCCAGCACTTTGGGAGGCTGAGGTGGGTGGATTGCTTGAGCCCAGGGGCTCAAGACCAATCTGGGCAACATGACAAAACCCCTTCTCTACAAAAAAATACAAAATTAGCCAGGCATGGTGGCATGCGCTTGCGGTTCCAGCTACTTGGGGGCCTGAGGCAGGAGGATTGCTTGATCCCAGGAGGTCTAGGCTGCAGTGAGACAAGATCACACCACTGCACTCCAGCCTGGGTGACAGAGTGACACCATGTCAGAAAAAGAAAGAAAGAAAGGAAGGAAAGAAGGAAGGAAGGAAGGAAGGAAGGGAGGGAGGGAGGGAGGGAGGAAGGAAGGAAGGAAGGAAGGAAGGGAGAGAGAAAAGAAAGAAACTGAAGTTATATCAACCAAATGCAATGTGTATCTATTGATCCTGATTCAAATAAACCAACTGCTGTGAAACACTTTCAGATAATCTTAGAAATTTGAATAGACTGAATATTTTGTATTAAAAATTATTAATAATTTTATGTGTGATATTTATGTTTTGATCATGTTTTAAAAGAGCCCTTGGCCAGGCATGGTGGCTTACTCCTGTAATCCCAGCACTTTGGGAGGCCAAGGTGGGTGGATCACCTGAGGTCAGGAGTTCAAGACCAGCCTGAGCAACATAGTGAAACTCTTTCTCTGCTAAAAAGACAAACTTAGCTGGGTGTGATGGCACCTGTAGTCCAAGATACTCAGGAGGCTGAGGCAGGAGAATGGCTTGAACCTGGGAGGCAAAGGTTGCAGTGAGCTGAGATTGTGTCTGCACTCCAGCTTGGGCGACAGAGCAAGACTCTGTTTCAAAATAAATAAATAAAAGCCCCTAACTTGCAGAAATACATACATTCGGATGAAATGATGTGCTGTCAGGAATTTTCTGGAAAAGAACCGAGTTTGGGAGAGAAACAATGGAACATTGGAGAGGGTGCTTGTGCAACAATATCAACCACAAGTTAATAATTACTGAACTAAGTAACAAATACATGAGAGTTTATTACAGTAGTCTCTACTTTTGTATGTGCTTAATAATTTTCTAGCGAAGCGTTGAAAATACAAAAGCTCTAAGAGCCAACGTTATCCAAATGCTTACATTTTGTTTCTGTATTACCAAAAGTTAAAATTATATGTGCATTACTCTGCTCCAATTTCTGTCCCATTGCCTGATCATCTTATTTATTCTACATATTATCCAAGAAAATTTGATAATACCTCCTTGCCCTCTTTAATGATTAAAAGTAGAATTGAGGTCTCGGTGGATCTTAGTGCAGCCACAGATTGGACCCTAAAGGGAAAGATAGGTTGGTATTGCCTTCAATTTGTGAATATAGCTCTTTAAATAAGCAGGAGCTTAAAATAACTTGCATTTGGGGATCATGCTCAGTGAATATGAAAGGATGAAACAACAATTCTTAAGCTGCTACGGCTGGGGTGGGGAGGGGTATCCTAGCATAACATAGCAAGTGTCATAACATCAATGACTTCCACTATGTGGTACAGGAGAATTTTTAGGTCTTTCTCAAGCTGAAGGACGCCCTTTTTCTACTACTCTCCTTACAGAACAGAACTTCAGTCAAAATTCTGCAGTTTGGGGGAATTCCCAGCACCCTGAGGGGACTTCCCATTTTGTCCCCTCCCTTGCTTTCCCCTGCCTTGCCTTCACAGGGTTGTGGTCAAGTTTAAATGTCATTGTGTTTAGAAAGGACTTGACACAGATTAAGGGTGGTTACAATAAATATATTCTGTCGACTTAAAAAAAAGGTGACCTGTGATGTCTTCCCACTACTCCCAGGTTGAGAGAGAGAGAATGAAGACCCATTGCTGTACAGGAACTAACTGAATGCTTTGAAGGTCCTGCAAGGCCAATGTGGCTGGAATGCAGACACAATGCCAGGAGGAACAGGAGATGTGGCTGACGAGAGAGGGAGGAGTCGGATCTCATGGGAACTGTCACCTGCAGGTAGGAGGTTTAGGCTTCATACTACATGCGATAAGAAGCCATTGTTGGCGTTTTAAGCTGGCAAGTGCAGTGGCTAGATTTGCCTTTTTAAAAGTTCACTCTGGGCCAGGTGCGGTGGCTCAAGCCTGTAATCTCAGCACTTTGAGAGGCTGAGGCGGGTGGATCATGAGGTCAGAAGTTCAAGACCAGCCTGGCCAAGATGGTGAAACCCCATCTCTACTAAAAATACAAAAATTAGCCTGGTGCTTATAGTCCCAGCTACCTGGGAGGCTGAGATAGGAGAATCACTTGAACCCAGGAGGTGGAGGTTTCACCAGCTGAGATCCCACCATTGCATTCCAGCCTGAGTGACAGAGTGAGACTCTGTCTCAAAATAAATAAATAAATAATAAAAATAAAAATTAAAGTTCACTCTGGCTGCATGAAGCAAAAAGGATCAGAGAGGGACAAGCATGGAATCATGTCAGAAAGGTAATCATCTTACCAGGCACAATGGTAATCTGGTGGAGGTGGTGGAAATAGAGAGAAATAGGCAGGCAGAGACACAATTTGGAGGTAGAATAGACAGGACTTGTTGATGTATTGGTTAAGAAAGATCAGGGAGAGAAATTTCAAGGGTAACTCCCAGATTTTTTTTTTTATGATCAACTGGAAGAAGAGATGCATATATAACTAAACGAAGAACAGAAGAAAAGAAAAATCTCCTATTTGTGACAGGAGATCAAGAGTAAAGTTTTAAGCATAGTTTGAGATGCTGATTAAGCTATCCAAGTGACATCCCAGTGATGATGAATAGAGGTTAGAATGCACATTCGGAGTTAAGACATGTCATCAGGCATTTAGGCTGGAGGCAGTAGCTCACACCTGTAATCTCAGCATTTTGGGAAGCCGAGATGGGCAGATCACATGACGTTAGGAGTTGAAGACCAGCCTGACCAACATGGCCAAATCCCAACTCTACTAAAGATATAATTAGCCGACAGTGGTGGTACATGGCTGTAATCCCAGCTACTCAGGAGGCTGAGGCAGGAGGATCGCTTGGACCCTATTGCAGTGAGCCAAGGTCATACCATTGCACTCCAGCCTGGGCAACAAACAAGACTCCAAAAAAAAAAAAAAAAAAAAAAAAAGGAGGAGAGAAAGAAACATTATCAGGCATTTGCATAAGGTGGAAAGGTGATAGCCCCTAATTCTGATCAGAGCAGGAAGTATTAAAAGATTAAGTGAGGTCATAGGGAGAGAGGCAACTGAAGTTAGAAGCCACCTGAACTGATAAGTCCCATCATATTGAGGGTCTTAGGCTGTGGCCCTCCAAGTCCCAGCCACACTAGCACATAGAATGCTCCCCTAGTGAGTTCCATCATTCCGCAAATACAGGAAACCTTCTCAGCTTTCCAAGGAAACTTTCCTAGGATAGAAGCTTTCCTAGAATCCTGCAAGTATGATTCTGAGCCTTGAAGACAGGGCTGGCCCAGGGGAAGCCCAGGATTGGGACAGAGTTGACTAAGATCTTAGGATAGTGTCCAAGGACCAGATAACTTTGTTTGCCTTTCTTAAGGAGGCCTCTTATTAAGGTAATTATTGTGAAAAGTAGGAAATGATTTGTGGTACTGCCCAGTAAACCTCAAATATTGCTGGAAATCATTAATCATATCAAGGTAGGGGCATGCCATACCCTCTTCAGAAGTGCAAGTGCCTTCTTCAGCAGGCAGAGATGTTACCCAGAAATTTTGCATTGACACTCTCAGATAAATATTTTTTAGGTCTGGGTTTGGAGTTAAAGCCACAAACATCATCAGAGTCTCATGGGTTGCCAGAATGAGAAAAGTAGTCCAACTAAACATCTGTTTTCAATCTTTTAGTGCTGCAGACCTCTTTGAACACATCATGAGCACTGGATTCTCGCCTCTGAAAAATAAAAATCACATATAGAAAAATTCAGGCAGTTTTTAGGAGTTTGAAGAATCCCTGCTCGTCGTGGACCCATTTGGGGTTGGATTCCTGACCATGTCTCGGATTCAGAAGTCATATAAGATGCAGGTTAGCAAACTTTGGAAAACGAACGAGGCGTTTTGAGGACAAACAGTGTCTTCCATATATCATCTTCTGGAATAGCTCAGATCTGGATGAGGTCACAGGACTTTCCATTCATGGGGATCTCTTCCTGGGGCTCAGAGATCATTGAGAGAGGGCAATCATCGTGGATGTGTCCAAGTGAAGGTAGTTTGGAAAGAAAGTTAACCTTTTTTTTCCTTTACTAAAAATCTTAAGGTCCCCATTAGCAGGCAGGAAGAAAGAGGACAGGTGAGCTCCCTGGTATCGATGTATTTACAGAGAACCTAGGCATCAGCCATGCATACAGAGGACACTCATTTGGCCGGAATTCGGGCTTTGACTTTAATTAAATTCCCTTGCTCCCAATAAGACCTCTCTTAATCTGAAAACAATTTGTATCATTGATGTACCTGCCAAGACCTCATTGCAAAGGAGCAGGAGGGACCTAGGAAATGTTGCTGGCAAAATCCAGAGTGACTCTAAAGGGGCAATGGCTTCCTTTGGATGCTCATGTGCTGGGCATAGCAATTGAAAAGAGTCGTGAACACTTAGGAGTAAACCAAGATGCAAAGTTCACATTCGAGGGAAGAAGGATGCAGTGTGGAAGAAAGGAAGGCAGATGCTGCAGCCCTGCCTACAAACAAGGAGGGAGCCATTCAGAGCCCCAAGCCTACTTTATGAGACAGAGGAATCAAGTTTTATTTCCTTCTCACCAAGAGACACTGGAAAGCTGTGATCTTACACAGGTGGGAAAAGTGAGAGGAAAATAAGCTCTTCCTAACAGTAAGGTCTGAGAGCCTTTCACAGACAGTGTTGGTGCTATAAGAATGACCCTTGATGGTTAAGCCTTTGCAGTCTTTATTCCATGCTGTTCTAGGTAAATCTGCACACAACTTTTTCTGTGTATTTTCCAAAAAAGGAAAGTTTTATAAAGGCTCAAGTTATTTACAAATATTGTGTATATTCTTGTTGTTTCCCAGTTCTTTAAGAACCATACAGTCCAGGCGCAGTGGCTCATGCCTGTAATCCCAACACTTTGGGAGGCCGAGGCAGGCGGGTCACGAGGTCAGGAGATCGAGACTATCCGGGCTTCCACAGTGAAACCCCGGCTCTACTAAAAATACAAAAAATTAGCCAGGTGTGGTGGCATTCGCCTGTAGTCCCAGCTACTCGGGAGGCTGAGGCAGGAGAATTGCTTGAACCTGGGAGGCAGAAGTTGCAGTGAGCGGAGATCGTGCAATTGCACTCCAGCCCGGGTGACAGAGTATTACCTGAATTTTCACCAGCCAACACGAATGTGCTCACCTTCCCTTGGGTGAGACCACATAGGCACAACATGCAGCTCAGGGTAAGTTCTTTGAACTTTTAGAGAGCAAATTAATTAATTAATTAGTTTTTTGAGATTGAGCCTTGCTCTGTTGCCTAGACCGGAGTGCACTGGTGCTCTCTTGGCTCACTGCAACCTCCACTTCCTCCCGGGTTCAAGTGATCTTCCTGTCCCAGCCTCCCAAGTAGCTGGAATTACTGGCATTTGCCACTACATCTAGCTAATTTTTGTGTTTTTAGTAGAGACGGGGTTTTATCATGTTGGCTAGGCTGGTCCCGAACTCCTGATCTCACCATCCGCCTGCCTTGGCCTCCCAAAGTGCTGGGATTACAGGCATGAGCCACTGCATCTGGTCAAAGAGCTACTTAATTTAAAAAATAGTTTATAAGTTCTTTAATAGAAGAGGAAATGGAAACTCAGCCCCAAGGGGAAATGGGAAAGCTTAACTTCCCTAGGCAAGTCCAGTTTTGCGTGGTTTCTGTGGTACAGGTGAGTAGCTATCACACAATTTGATCTTATGAGTAAAACGGATGCAGGAAGACTTTTGTTCACCCTGTTTTATTAGCGAAAGGAATCCAAAGCTTCTTTTTTATGTTAAACACCTTAACGACATAATGAAGATAGCCCTCTCTCCTCTTGCCTGAGGGAAGTTAGGAAGACATTCCTTAAGGAATCCATTTAGGGCTTTGGAGACAGGAAAGCTAGCAGGATATGGTAAGAGCGGAAGCATCAGCTACAGTAGGTAATGCCTGAGGTTCTTGAAACTGATGGAAAAAAGGTTTCCTGTACAAAAACCAAGCATCATTTTATTTTAATGCTCAATGAGACCCCTTCCTGAGAAAAACAGCCAAGTCTGTGATACTTGAAGAAAGTACTTACTCTGAGGCCGGCCGTGAATTGTACTCGCGGAAGGCCTGGGGGAGTAGGTGAGAAGTAGGGGGTGCTGCCAGCCCAAATGCTTTGTCATTTAGAACTGCCCAGGGAGCAGTTATAAAACACATACCTGCAAATTACAAGGGGATGCCATGGGCTCACAGGTGGAGCAAGACGTGCAGCGACATCAGTCCTCAGTGTCCCTCTTCTTGGAATGCTCCCATGTGGAACCCCTGTGTCACTTTGGACGAACCTCTTTCTGAAGTGCCTGGGGAGCTCTATCTCTAAGCCCCCTTCCTCGGTACTTGCCCCTCCCCCCGCTCTCCATACTGATGATTCATCTTAAGAACTGGACATACTGAAAGGCAAGACCAATTGAGCTTTTGGGTGGGAGAGAACAGGACTTAAGTGCTCTGCTAATCTGGGATCACATTCTTCACTACAAGTCTGAAAGCTAATTGACAGCCCTAAGGCTCTCTTTTAGCAGCTTAGAAGGGGAAGCACACCAAGAGGCCTCACAACTGTGTTGTGGAATCACTGTTTTCAGTGAGGGAGAGAAAACGGAGAATTTTTAAAGCATTCTCCGCAGAGAATAGAAGTTTTCTGCCTGGAGCGGTGGCTCATGCCTGTAATCCCAGCACTTTGGGAGGCTAAGGCTGGCGGATCACAAGGTCAGGAAATTGAGACCATCCTAGCTAACACTGAAACCCAGTCTCTGCTGAAAATACAAATAATTAGCCGGGCGTGGTGTTGCGCGACTGTAATCCCAGCTACTCCGGGGGCTGAGGCAGGAGAATCACTTGAATCTGGGAGGCGCAGGTTGAAATGAGCCGAGATCGCGTCACTGCACTCCAGCCCGTGCAACAGGGCGAGACTCCGTTTCAAAAAAAAAAAAAAAAAAAGTTTTCATTAGTTCTTTCCCAAGACAAAATCCAAAGTTTGTTTAAAGCTTGCTGTTTCGTACACGCATTCCGGAGAGCAACTTGGAGTGTCTACTACATACTAGGCATTGCACTAGGTGCAGCAATACAGGGGTGATGGGGCCGAATAAGGCAACTTGAGTGGCCCCTAGGCGTTCTGCAGAGGTAGTTAACCTGCAGTTGGACAGGGCTCCTCTTTCCTTCTCTTCCCTCAAACCCTTGGCTTTTTTGAAACTAATGGTCAAGGATGGAGGAAGGCAGGGGACGGCTTTGTTCTGGTTTGCCCTTAAGTCCCAGTTCCTATGGGAGCCGTCCTAAGCCATCTTGATGGGAAACCACTCCTCAGAGCATGTTTGTTATGAGGTATGTTAACATCTGCTCCAAAGGGTGGGTGACCTTAAGGGAATGCAAGTGACGGAATCTTGCAGGCCCCAGGCTGTGCTTGATTATCTGAGCTACCTTTCCATTCCGAGGCCCACGTGGTCATTGATTACCTTTCCCCATCCTGCCTGATACAGGGTCTGTCTTCATTTCATTTCTCTCAGCTGTCTTAGATACCCTGTTACTATCCCACAAGGCCTTATTCCTCTGACCCACTACCAGTCAGTCAGCTGGGAACAGGACCGGCTGCATGGAAGAAAGGGAAAGATAAATTTAGAGAATGGCTGATTTCTTCAAAACTCATCCAAGTTCTTTTTGATTTCTTAAAAGGATTGCAGCAAACCTGTAATCCCAGCACTTTGGGAGGCCAAGGCGGGCAGATCACGAGGTCAGGAGTTCGAGACCAGCCTGACCAACATGGTGAAAACCCGTTTCTACTAAAAATACAAAACTTAGCCGGGTGTGGTGGTACATGCCTGTAATCCCAGCTACTCAGGAGGCTGAGGCAGGAGAATAGATTCAACCTGGGAGGTGAAGGTTGCAGTGAGCCAAGATCATGCCACTTCACTCCAGTGTAGGTGACAGAGTGAGACTCCATCTAAAAAAAAAAAAAAAAAAAGGATTTCAGCAAATGCATACATTTGTTTTAAGCATTTTTTTTAAATCTTCTTTTGCCAGTCAGTAGGTCATCTTATGATCTCCTGATGACATAGGCAAGAAATTAGAAAATTACCATTTTCAATTCAGACATGAAATGGGAAAAACAGAGAATGCAAGAATTTGCACCTTCACCTCATTAGTGTTTGCTAGTTCATATATTTCAAAGCCATTATAGGGTATGTGTGGATTTCAAGACATGTATGAGACAGTCTCTGATCTCTGATTATTATTTTTATTTACTTTGTTAAATATTTTGAAATGAAAATACAGTAATTTCAAAAATAGGATGGGAAATAATCAAAAATCACACCCCACAAGCTCTGCAATTTCCAATTTAGCATAATGCCTGCCAGTCTGTGCATTATTCTATATTTTGTTTTTTGCTAGTAGAGAATTTAAATATCCTTTTACATATATAACAAACATCTTTTCTGTGTGGCTTTTCTGTGTGTTGCTGGTTCATACCCTTTGCTCACTTTTCTGTTGAGTTGTATGTCTTTTTCATTTGCTTATACTTTATATTTTCCTAAATAAAGTTTTAAAGTGTCATGTAAATGCATCTATTTTTCTTTAACAGCTCCTGGACTTCCTGCTTTGATTAAGAAGGTACACCCAAGTTGACATGTGGTCCTTTAGATTTTGTAGAATTACATCATCCTTGCAATGCATGAATAGATCCAAATTGACCATAGTGTATTAATCTTTGGAAACAATATTAAATATATTTGCTATATTTTTGTTGATAATTTTTGTATCTGCAGTCATATATAATATTGGCTGAGATTTCTAAAATATTGGTTGATGTTTTTAAAAATAATGTAATCAGAATTGATATTAAACAATAGCTAAATAAGTTTGATCATGAGGTGGGGGGGATTTCCATCTTTTTAGGTAGCTTGGAGTTGATAGTTTAAAGAATAATGAAATCATCTGGACTTTAAAGTTTACATGAAACTCGGTTTTGAAATTATCAGAATGTGGAATCTTTTCAATACCTTCTGAAACCTTCTGCTCTGTACCTTTTCCACTTTATCTTGGGTCAATTATAGCAACTTGTATTCCATTAGAAGTCAAGTGTTTCCTCTAGAATTTCAAACTTGTTATAGAGAGATGATGTAACTCCTTAATGTAGTATCTATTATACTACATATTGTATGTACGATCCTGTATATTAGATATTATACATTGTATATCGTAGTTTAAAACATTTCTTCTGCACGGCTGTGTCTCCTTTCCTATTACAATCATGCATAGCTTGGACTCTTTTCTTTCAATCTGTAAGTTTTTTTAATACCAAAACTCATAAAGTTTTGTATTGCCATTTTTACAGAACTAGCTCTTGAATTTATCTATATTTCTATTTTGGGTTATGATCTTAAAATTATTATTTTCACTTTTGTCTTTACTAATTACCTCTTCCTATTTTCTTTTGGTTTGTTTATTATTTCTCTAGGTTTCTATGATACAGACTAATTTTCATTATATATATTTTTAAGGCACAGTCTCTGTCACCCAGCCTGGAGTGCAGTGGCGTGATCTTGGCTCAGTGCAACCTCCACCTCTCCGGTTCAAGCGATTCTCCTGCCATAGCCTCCCAAGTAGCCAGGATTACAGGTATGCACCACCATGCCCAACTACTTTTTGCATTTTTAGTAGAGACAGGGTTTCGCCATGTTGGCCAGGCTGGTCACAAACTCCTGACCTGAGGTAAGCAACCTGCCTCGGCCTCCCAAAGGCGCCGGGAATACAGGTGCAAGCCTCTGTGCCAAGCCGAATTTTCATTAATTTTAATCTTTCTCTTTTAATAAAAGCATTTAAGTTTCTACATTGTCCTCTGAGGATGTGATGCGAGGCTTCAGTTTTGATTGCCTCTTTGTTCCAAAGTTTGTCTAAGGATGTATTTCATAATTTCTAAGTGTTAACTTTATCACTTTTTATTATTTACCCTGACTCTATACTCTATTGAATGAAGATAGAAATAAACTCTCCTTTCTTTGTTCTATCAGCCTAGAAAATAATTTTTATTATCTGTTTGAGATATATTATAGATTCATAAATTTCTTTATGTTTTTAATTTTTGTCTGTTACTTATGACTATGAAAGTGTTATATTAAAATCTCCCAGTAGTATTGCACTAGTACACAGTTCTTTTATTCCTAATAAGTTTTGCCTCATATCTTCAGCTGCTATTTTTTTGTGTACACAGAGGTTTATGAGTTATTGTCATTGTCTGGGTTGGCTAAGAAGGAGACACTGTGATAGAAATGAATAGGGAAGAATTTTATTAGGAGAAATGCCTAAGAAATAAATTGGATAGAGTTGGGAGAGGCTGGGAGAGCTGTCAGACCATAATGAAGTCTGACCCTGAGAAGAGGAGAGAGACAAGAAAAATAGAGCTGAAGTGTTTTCAGCTGCTGTGGAGTCTAACTGTTCAGCTCTGTTGAGCCAAAGTTGGCTGTCCGAGAGTCTTGTGTCTTCCAGGAATGGGCCAAACTTGTTACACTATTGCTTTTGTTCATTGCCTGAGAACAGCCTCTGGGAAACCTGGCCCACCATGAATGGGGTGACAGATTTAGAGGGCAGTGCTTGGTGCCCACTGTCAATGATGCTCCCTGTATTTGGAAGTCAGGTAGGTGTATTCTTTTTTTTTTTTTTTTTGAAATGGAGTCTTGCTCTGTTGCCCAGGCTGGAGTGCAGTGGTGTGATCTTGGCTCACTGCAACCATCATCTGCTGGGTTCAAACCATTCTCCTGCCTCAGTCTCCTGAGTGGCTGGACTATAGACGCACACCACCATGCCTGCTAATTTTTTGTATTTTTAGAAAGACAGGGTTTCACCATGTTGGCCATGCTGATCTCAAACTCCTGACCTCGTGGTCCAACCTCCTTGGCCTCCCAAAGTGCTGGGATTACAGGTGTGAGCCACTGTGCCCAGCTAGGTAGATGTATTCTAATGATAATCACTTTCATGCACCTTCCTCAAAAATAAACACATTCAACTTTTATTAACTGATTATTTTAGCATTTTCCAAATTTACTAATGATAGAGTGTTTTTTTCTACAGAATTCATGGAGCACATCCTGAGAAGCGCTTTTCTAGTTGCACATCTGTAGGCATTGCCCGTGGTCATGTCTAAAACGTTTTACTAATGATATCTATGACAACAGAGAAAGCAACTGTGTCGAATTTGCAGCTGATACAGAGCAAAAGAGAAAACAAATTCAGTAGATTTCCAGAAGTCTATCTATGCAGTTATGTTCTAGTTCTAAAAGGCTCTTTGAAAAGCCTTTCATAAATCCAAAGTAAGATACCTTGTTTTTAGTCTGTAGCCTCTAGTTACATTCCTACCAAAATGGGCATGAGTCATGACTTTGAAGGGTTAAAACCAGGCATGCATTTTCCTGATGTTTGTTCTGTAAGCATCTGAGGTTTTTGAGGCAGTTAATCCCCACCCGATCCTCTGAGGATCTCTGAAACTACTTTCTGAGATGCAATCAATCCCACATATGTTTGTCCTGCAATCCCACGTTTGTCTCTTCTTACTTTGATTTTGTGCCGTTTCGAATGACCACGAACCCATTCAACCATACACAGCTTGAGACAGAAGTTTCCTTGGCAGTAGCATCACCTTGTTCTGTCTTCAAGTTCTCTAACTCTTGGCGTTAGACTACTTAGTCTAATAAACTAAAGCCTGAAAATTCTACCTCATCTAATAATCAGGTTGATCTTTCAACCACATACATCTATTTTCTTCGTCTTGCCTATTATTGTCAATCACATAGACTTTTTTGTTCATTCACTGTTTATCCTTGAGAATCATTCCTACTGTCAAATGACTCATCTCAGCGGCGTATGTGGTATCTGTCATTTCCTTACCACTTTCAATTTTTACAAGTCACTTCCTTTGTTTTCGTTGCAATCGTAAGTCTCTAGGTATGAACACTTTCAGTATTTTCTCAGTAGTACTTTTCAAATAATATGCCTTTAATAATGTCCTTAGAACAGCTCAGTAATAAGCACAGACCAATAAAGAGTGTGACAGCTGGCCGGGAGCAGTGGCTCATGCCTGTAATCCTAGCACTTTGGGAGGCCTAGGTGGGCAAATCACCTGAGGTCAGGAGTTCAAGACCAGCTTGTCCACCATGATAAAACCCCAACTCTACTAAAATAGGAAAAGCAGCTAGGTGTGGTGGCGCGTGCCTGTAATCCCAGCTACTCAAGCAAAACAATCACTTGAATCTGGGCGGCAAATGTTGCAGTGAGCCAGGATCATGCCACTGCACTCCAGCCTGGGCAACAAGAGTAAGACTCCATCTCAAAAAAAAAAAAAAAAAAAAAAAAAAAAAAAAAGACTGACAGCTGAGTATGCAGACCACTGATGTCAGCTGTTGGTGGTAGTGGGACCTGAAATAATTTGCTCTGAAGGAAAGCTTTGTTTATATCTACCAATGTTTATTGGTGGAAAACTCATAAAGAAAGATGATTCTATATTAATCTATATACTAGAGATGGTTTATAAGTAATACCACATATGGCTTTCTGGTCCTACTGGCGACAGATCCTTTAAATACAAATAGGGAAAAAATGGTAGTTAATGACTTCAGATACCAAACCAATTCACCTTAAAGTCTCCTTTAAATTAAACCAGCTTTGATCTACCAGTCCTGGCTCATTGGTCACCTGGGTTTTATTCCTAATTTGATTCAGATAGCTTTAGCTTTTATCTGAAAGATACCAGTCTTCCACTGATAATCTGGCATTGACACATGCAATTCCTGGCTTCATCCTTGTGTACAAATAATAAGCCCTAACCTTAATCAAGTTGGTGATGTCTTTCCCTGAGATCCCAAGTGTCCTTTGAGTAAAAAGCTAGAATTACACTAATTGATAATAAACTGCATCTGGACACCAGGCTCTTCCAGGCTCTGCATTTGGTTGGATGGCTCTTAGTTGTTTCCTTGAGTTTCTTTCCTTTCCTTCTTCTTCTCTTTTTATTTATTTATTTATTTTTTTAAGACAGAGTTTCACTTTGTTGCCCTGGTTACAGTGCCCTGCAGTGGTGTGGTTCAGGTATAATTCACTGCAACTTTGAACTCCTGGGCTCAAGCAGTCTTCCCATCTCAGCATCCTAAGCAGCTGGGACAACAGGTGAGCACCACTATGCCTTGCTAATTTTTTAATTTTTTGTAGAGACAGGGTCTCACTGTGTTTTCCAGGCTGATTTCAAACCCGTGATCTCAAGCAACCCTCCTGCCTCAGGCTCCCAGAGTGCTGTAATTTCAGACATGAGCCACCATACCTGGCCTGGCATCCCCTCTTTTACCACTGCTGGGATCACTTGGCTCCCATCTATTGGCCTAGACCTACCTTAGTCCCTGTGATAATCTTGATGTTAGACAGGATACAAGCATGTCCCTCCAGCCCACAACATTCCCATACCGTGGGGCTCGGCATCTATCCCTCCCTGCTGCTCTTTGACCTTGTGTACCAGTCTGATAACAGGACTGGAGTCCTATTGCTGTCGCTCCATCTATGCCTTTTACCACCTCTGTGACTAAACAGAGACAATGTAATGTCAAGAGAACCAGACTGGCTCAAAGGACACAATCAACAGAGTGAAAAAACTATGGAATGGGAGAAAATATTTGTGAATATTGTGGGATTGTGGGATCTTATTCCATAAGAGCTTAATATCCAGAAAATATAGCTAAAACTCAATAACAAAAAAGCAAACAAATCCCATTAAAAACAGGCAAAGGACTTAAATAGAGATTTCTCCAAAGAAGAAATGCAAGTGGCCAATAAGCACATAAAAAATGCTCAACATCACTAATCATTAGAGAAATGCCAATGAAAACCATCTTTCACCCATTAGAATGGTTACCATCAAAAAAAGATAAAATAAAAAATGTTGGCAAGGATGTGGAGAAATTGGAACCCTTGTACTCTGTTGGTGGGAATGTAAAACAGTGTAGCTGCTGTGGAAACAATACAGCAGTTCCTCGAAAAGTTAAAAATAGAATTAGCACATGATACAGCAATTCAACTTCAGGTATATGCTGAAAAGAATTGAAAGGAGGAATTTGAAGAGATACTTGTACACTCATGTTCATGGCAGCATTATTCACAGTAGCTAAAAGGTAAAAACATCCCAAGCGTTGGGTGAATAGATAAGCAAAATGTAGTATATACATCCGATAGAAAATTATTCAGTGGTAAAACAGAAGAAAAATTTTACGCATGCTACAACATAGATGAACCTTATAGAAATATACTAGTGAAATGAGCCACTCACAAAAATGAAAAACACTGTATGATTCCACTTATAGGAAATATCTAGAATGGGGGACTTCATAGAGACAGAAAATAGAATGGTAGTTGCCGGGAGCTGAGGGGAGGAGGGAAAGGGAAGTTGTTTGATTAATGTAGTTTCAGTGTGGCAGTATGAAAAGAGTTCTGGAGATTGATTGTACAACAATGTCAATGTACTCAACACTACTAAAATATACACTTAAAAATAGTTAAGATAGGGCTGGACATCTTAACTTAGAACAGCTCAGTAATAAGCTCACACGTGTAATCTCAGCACTTTGGGAGGCTGAGATGGACTGATTGCCTAAGGTCAGGAGTTCGAGACCAGTCTGGTCAACATGATGAAATTCTGTCTCTACTAAAAATACAAAAAAAAAAAAAAAATTAGCCAGGCATGGTGGTGTGCACCTGTAATCTCAGCTACTTGGGAGGCTGAGACAGGGGAATTGCTTAAACCAGGAAGGTGGAGGTTGCAGTGAGCCAAGATAGCACCACTGCACTCCAGCCTGGGTGACAGAGCAAAACTCCATCTCAAAAAAAAAAAAAAAAAAAGTTAAGAAGGTATATTTATGTTATGTATATTTTACCAAAAAAATTTTTTTAAGAATGAGTACAATAGAGGTCCTGAATGGATGTCCCAACTCTGATCTTACTATGTATATCACTAAATTCTTTGGAATTCAGCTCTCTCAGTCTATCACTAGAAGCCTAATTATTCTTATTTACATCCCAGGACCACAGAGAATTCAATGAGATCATCCATAGAAAATTACCTTGTAAACAATGCAGAATTCTTCTGTAAATGTAGATATCAAAAATAAAGTATACAACTAGGAATGTTTTAGTTGTCTCTAAGAAGACAATTAGGAGATAAATTTGAGAGAAATTTGTAGAGTTAAAAGAATCCCAGGAACCCGAAGTACAGCAGGGACAATTCAAGTGAAAGCATTTTATTGAGAACTTACCATACACCAGGCACATCCTAGGCACAGAAAACAAGAATAGTCTCTCTTCGTTTGCTGAGCATAATACAATCACAGAATTTTTTTAAAAGCTATAAAACACTGCATTGAGGAGGGAACACAGAAGACTATGAGAGAGCACGGACTTCCTGAATGAGGCGGGCTTCTCAGAGGAAATGGCATCTAACCTGAAGTCTGAAGGCTGAGGTTATCACAAGGCTGAGAGGAAGAGAAAATCAAAACATAGATAATCACTCATAAGACACAAAATGTGTATACAAGAGAATGAACAAGAAATAGTAGAAATATTAGAAAGGTTGAGAAAATTTCGCCAGACCAAGAGGACGGGAAAATGTGTTCTAGGAAGATGAAACAACCCCGAGAAGCTGTGATGGTAAACGGAAAGCCTGATATGTTCGAGGAGCTGAAGAAATTTCTCTACCAAGCTTAGGAGAGGAAAAGCTAAGAGTTAACAGGAACCAGCTCGCACCTGGACCTTTAAGCTATATAAAGTTAACATTTAACCCAAAGTGCAATACAGTGCCACCAAAGAATGTTAAGAGGGCAATGCTATCATCAGAATTTCGTTTTGTGAAGATCATTCGGTTTGTAAGGTGGAAGAGTGTATTGGAGTAGGTAGGGGAGGAGAAGTCCAGGCACAGAAATGTCATACGGAAGGTTGTTACGGTAATCCAGACCTGTGATGATGGAGGGAAAATAGCATATACATTCAAGCCAGATTTAGGTACGAGAATGGATAGGACCTGGTGGTATATTAGACGTAGAGTAAGAAGGAGAGATAGCGGTCAAAGTGATGGCTTGGGCAACTGTGAACATGGCATTACCACTTTTGGAGAAAAGGAACACAGAGCAAGCAACGTGTTCAGTTTAGGATGTTTTGAGTGTGAAATGACTGAGGACCAAGCAAATAGGATGCCCAGGTCAGGTGAATGCACTGGGTTAAGATGATTGGGATAGGCCGG